CCCCCCCTGTGTATGTGTTGGGTTGGGAGATGAGTGAAGAACAGTGTGTGTTTGTGAGAATGACAGAGATTTGCATTGCCAAGCTCCCTCCATCCCTTTCTTTCTGGATAGAGATAGGGTACAGAAGTTGGGGGAAAGAGGGACACCCTGACATCAGAACCCTCCCCCCGGGAAAGAGGGACACCCTGACATCAGAACCCCCCCCCTCTTTTCCCTCCTACACCCTGCACAGGAAGCAGGAGGATGCTAGGGGGGCAGCTCCAAGGCAGAAGGCAGGAGCAGTATGACAGTGGGTCGAGCGCTTGCTATCTTTCCTGGCCAGACCAATCAGCATCACCTGTCAGAAGCTCCAAGATCTACCATTAGATCCCGATCTACTGGTTGGTGACCACTGCTCTATGTCGATTGATATGTACATAGAGTAGTACGTGAAACATTAATTTTAAAAAAAAAACCAGGCACTGTACTTGCTTGAAGCAATAATGTTTTCTTATAGTAATTTACTTCCTTTTTTTTAAAGGATGAGCTGTGGATGATCCAGGAGAAGCTGGAATGCTACTTTGGCTCTTTGGTTGGCTCCAATGTTTACATAACTCCTCCAGGGTCCCAGGGTCTTCCTCCCCACTATGATGATGTTGAGGTAAGAGAACAAGTTTGCTATGTGTAAATTTACAAGCAGTGTTCCAGGGTGGAAGTATGTTCACGTTCTGGAAGTCATTCAGTGGATCCGCTTATGGATAGCTTTCTGCACAATTACATGCAGACAGGTTTATGTTCTCTTTGGGTATAGATTTGGTCAAGTAACATCAATCATTCTTTCATTTTAAAGAAATGCTATTGAATAATTTGATGGTACTATCCTGTTACATGTGTGTTCCAGAACTGTTGTATGACATTTTCAGTTGATGCTGACAGAAGCTATAGAAACTTTCCAGCAGCCATTATCTTTCATTGGAGAGGTTTTACACCTGTGGAGAAGGTGGCATCTTTTTTAAAATGACCAATGTCAGGTTAAAAAAAAATCAATTAAAAACATGCAAGCATACCTTTGTTACCAATAACATATGGAGGGCCTAATCTTGAGAGAGCTTGCTGACTTCAGTGGAAGCTGCCTAGTATTTCTTGGGGGACAGACCCTCTTGTTATTAAAACTGTAAAAAATTGGAAATCATTTTTTCTTCAGCTTGTACAGTGGAAATAGACCCCCACGCTCTATTTGTTTAGTAGCACAACACTACAGTGAGTAGGGATGTAAATGGTTAACCGGTTAACTGGTAAGCATACTGGTTACAGTTAACCAGCAGCCTGGTCAGGCTGGAGTAAACTCCCGCCTCCCCAACGCGGGCAGGGGGCTGCTCCAGCCTGGCATACCACACTGTGCCGCAGGTAGGGGATACTCCAACCCAGCCAGGCTATCTGTGTCATGGCACAGGAGGGAGGTGTTCCAGCCAGCAGCTAACTAATTAAATGGGATTTTACACACCTGACAACGACTAGTTTGCAAATGCTACCTGGGAAGCTTCAAATCTAGACATGTCCTCATTTAACTTTTAAAAATAGCAAAAACATCTACTACATTTAATAAAATGTATTAAAAAACAAAACCTGAAGTTGGGGACTTATGCTGCCAGATACTCTCTTCTTTTAGCTGTGATGGTTTAAAAATAAAACAGATATTTTCTAGTTTTAGAAATATTATAAATAACAAGTATAAATGTCTTCTCGTGAATCAGAGGTTGCTTTTATTATAATTTTTAACTTCACTTTAGTGAAATGCATCTAGCAGTTTAGCTACACACAGACCTACTCTTCAGCTACTTAACATATGCAGAATGTACTTGTCAGCTGTCTGCAAAGTCTTCTGATGAATGCAGTGTGCCATATGGAACTGTTACATGACTAAGTATTTCACATGCTCTGTGTTCTTCTGTGACTGGCAAAGAATTTTTTTTGAATTTTATAGATCTATGAGTATCACCAGGAAGGCCATCACTTCCACTTCTTTTGTTTTTGCTACCTATCTTTCTCACTTGGTCCCCTGGATTTTTTAAAGTTCAAAATTGGAATAGCTGGAGGTTTGAGGAGCAGCATGACTTTTTGATACATATTGTCTTGTGGCCCTTTGCAGGTGTTTATTCTTCAGTTGGAAGGAGAGAAACACTGGCGACTCTACAAACCTACTGTGCCGTTAGCTCGAGAATACAATGTTGAATCAGAGGATCACATTGGGAATCCAACACATGAATTCATATTAAAGGTACTAGTATTTGCTGCACGTGGCTTTCTTGGCTTTAGCTGTGAAATATAGAGTGTTAATACATTGCTGTTCTGATACATTGTTTAAGAAGACTGCTCTGAATGTGTTTATAAAAATGACATTCCAAGCACTGGAAACAGTCTGGCCTATGGGGCAGCCAGGCAGTCCGGTCCTATAGGCAGTTTGGAGAATTTGGACTGAAATCAACAGATGAAATTCAGTAAAGACAAGTGCAAAGTAATTCATTTAAGAATGAAAAAATCAAATGTAGAGCTACAAAATGGAAAATGGCCTGCAAGATAGTAGTACTGCTGACAAGAACTGAATGTAAGTCAACAGTATGATGCAATCATAAAAAGTCTGATATTGTTCAGGGATATATTAACAGCAGTGTTGTATGTAAAGATATGGGAGATAATTGTTCTGTGTTAGTTGGCTCTGGTGAGTCTGCAGCTAGAGTATTTTGCGGTGCCCCAAACTGCACACTTTAAAAAACATTGAAGAGAGATTGACAAGAGAGTAACAAAAACAAAGCTTAGAAAACATCACTTATGAGGAAAGGTTGAAAACAGTATGTTTAGCCTTGAGCAGCGTTTCCCAAACTATGGGCGGGCCGCGGGAAAAAAAATACTGGGACTCAGCATGGCTGCCAGGGTGTTCCGGGCTCCTGGTCTTTCCGTGCAACGCTGGGTTCCCCAAGCCCTCAGCCGGGCTGGGCGGATGCAGCCATATGTTTCAGGCTCCCGGCAGAGGCATAGTGAGGGCTGGTTACCAGGTTGGCTCTTATTGCTGGCTGTGGAGGCGGGAGGAGGGGTTGGATATGGGGCACAGGGAATCAGGGTCGGGGCAGTGGAGGTGCCTGGGGGAGATAGGGAGGGGAACCGTCCGGCGGAAGCAGGGCTGGCCAGGGGAGATCGCGGGGGTGGGAACCGGCTGGCGGGGGCAGTGAAGCTGGACAGGGGAGATCGCGTGGCAGGGCTGGCCGGGTGGGAGGGCAGTGAG